CAGTTTCACATTCATCCTTGAGCTGAAAAGGTATGTGATCAGAAAAGCAACAGATGAAATTTTTAACAGAACTTCTTGTACTTTTGTTGCAGTGGGAGGCATCCTGTCACCAGCAGCACATGATCTCTCTATTGATGATGCAGTTGATTCTGAGGATGAGTCTGATAATGAACACTATGACTCAGAATCAGATAATGGTAAGTTGTAAGTTTGAAAAGTGGAGGTGAATTTCATTACACTTTTTAAGCAAATTTGTCACTTCGTACTGTAGAAAAAAAATCATCATGTGATTCCTGATATGTATTCCAGATTCAATAGTTAGTGAAGACACAAGCAGCATCTCAGGTTCAAGTGGGAAGAAGGAACGGTACTTTTGGCAGTATAACGTACAAGCCAAAGGACCAAAGGGACAGCGTGTGTGCATAAGCCAGCAGCAGCGTGACCCACACAGTCTGCCATCAATCATGGATCCAGTGTTTTCTCCGCTCTGCTCAATTCAAGGAATAAAACACAGGTATTGAATTAAATTATAGGATTTGAGTTTTGGAATTACCTCTGTGATAATTTTGCCTGAGAGTACAGTGTTTAGTAAGAAGGCTTTGAATTCCTTTTTCTTGGAGCTATTATCACAAGAGGAAAATAATATTGAAAGTTCTAAGTGAGTTTGCAAGTTACTAAAAGTAAAATTTATTGGTATTCTGGCATTATGTTAAGCAGTCACATGAACTGTTAACTTCACGAATATGATTTGTTGATTACATCCTAGAAGGAAATATCTTGCAGATTATTTTTTATATTGTTATAATAGTTTGTATAGAAAGTAGGAGCAGATTTTATTGCCCCCAGTTTATCTCTAACACACAGTGGAAAGGCCCGAAGGGGCGATGGAAATGACCTAACGCCTAATCCCCGTAAATTAGTCAACATTGGCAGAGAACTCGACAAATTGAACAAGGTATTGCATAATTAATTTTTATTGTGAGTAATACTGAACTGATAATGGAATTTGAGAAGATAGGTGTGTATGATTTTGTTTTCCATTTCAGTAGAAATAGATTAGTATTGTCAGCTTGCCTTAGCATTTAAGTAGTGTAGATACTCTACAAATAGCTAAATGTATGAACATTATTTTTCAGACAATAAATGACTTAACTCCAGTATCTGAACTCCCATTCAATGTGAGACCCAAATCTAGAAAAGAGAAGAACAAGTTGGCATCAAGGTTAGTAATATTTTTGTAAAACATGAAGAGTATGAAGTACAATCTTAGAAGTGAGTAAATAGAGCTTCTAACAGATTCTTTGAGATCTTGTTATATAAATAGTTACTTTTTTCTGCATTTTAACCTATTCCTGGCAGGTAAAATTTCAAACAATGTTTAGTAAGACCAGTGTGTGCTAGAATGTGCTTTCCCTAGCCTGCCTTTTTGATCCTGAGATGCTATCCCTCTGAGTAATAATTCATTCCCTTTTCACAGAGCCTGTCGCTTGAAGAAGAAAGCCCAGCATGAAGCAAACAAGATCAAGTTGTATGGTTTGGAGCAAGAGCACAAGGGAATGCTTCTGCTTCTGGAGGAGGCTAGAGGAAGTCTGATAAAGAAGGTAGAGAGTGGAGGGACTGCACACATGCCTACCAATCATCACCAGGCCCTACCAGGCACTCCACCACAGAACCATCAGCTGTCTGTATCACAGCATATTGAAAAGATTGCCAAGTTACGGAGCAGTAAGTATGGGCTTATATTTGCAGCTCTTTAATTCCTCAGCTGTACTTGGACTAGCCATAATACTATGGACTAGCCATAATACTATGTATATGCAAGTTCTGCGAAGTTATTTTGGAATGGCTTTTCATGATTTGAATATATTATGCTTTGCTTGAAACTTTATAAATGAAAGTACTGCTTCTCTATTTATTGGTGTGTTTTATTGATGATGGTTAAATTTGATGGTTGCAGATGGATGGGTTTGGAAGTAGAGTCAGCAAAAATAGTGGATTCTTGTATAAATGACAGTATCTGTACAGGGTTGTTTGAATAGCTCTTAACTGTTTTTTACCTCCACAGAACTCAGGATTGCTGGCCATACCACTGAGTTTGTGAATCGTGTCATTGAAAACTGTCAGAATGGAGATCAGAGTGGAGGACTGGAAGAGATAACCAAAACCTTCAATGACACCAATCTGGCTAACAGTCCTACATCCAATGGCAACAATGGATTTTCACCTCGCTGAAATCTCCAAGTAGAAACACATGTTGGTGCAGATTGAGGTGCTCAGAGCCACCCAAACTCATGCACCCACATCTATGGCAAGAATACACGTATCTCTTCAATGCTTCACAAGGAATTGCTGTATTTGCATTAATCCATGACCTTGCATACATGGATTCAGTAATATGCACTGAGGCCATAGCTTCGCAAGCAACAAGCTTTAAGGAAATTTTAAAGATTGAAAGTGTAAATAAGTAATTTGTACAGAATTAACCCATATACTTTACCCAAAGCAACTGCTGTAACCAGTGGGGTGATGGATCCCCCCAATAATGGGAAGCCAAAATTATAGTTAGGAAAAAAGGATTGGTAGATGTTAGATGATGATTGTGATATATTCATCCATCAATGATGAATGGTACAGATATAGAACTAGCTGCATTCTTTTTAGAAGAGAAAGGAGTTAGTGAGGCTTTGCTTTTTTGCACGAGACGTAGGCTGTGACAGTCAGAGGAACGATTGAATTGCTACAAAACAAAAATGTTATTGTTAAGTTTTTCTTAACAGATCCTGTAAAACCCCTAGGGCAGTATTGCACTGTGTAATTTATCCTTAGATTTATTATGTTGGAAATTAGTCCAGGTTAAATCAGTGTGGAAAACCAAGGCAAACTCTTCACAGATAAGGCACTCTTTGAGGGTTCTACTGCCCTGAGGTCCACCAACGCTTGTTCATTTGGTTATTACTATTACCAATGTGAAAGTATTGTTGTGCATTATAGAGTCTGTGAGAACGAGCTTTCTCTAATACATTTATATAGAATATTTTTGTTGCAGCTTTGGTGTTTTGTTTATATAGATTACATAATTTTTATTAATTTTTAAGTGAAAATTGTATGTAACTTGGTCTGTAGCATTCCTGCTGGTTGATATTTATGATATAAGTAGTTTTAAGGTAATATTTGATAGACACTTTATAACAAGAAAGTAGAAGTGTATGTTTCTGTACTAGTTTAAAGCTTGCCATAGATTTTCCATTTTCTAAACAAAATGTGAATTCATTTGTATAGCTGAGATTGTTGTACAGTATTTATTCTGCAACCAAAGCCTATAATCATGACAGGTTGACCGCCATTTATTGGTCTTCAGCAGAACTAGGTACTCATTCTCTACAGAGTTTATCTGGGCTTACATAATAGCAAGAAATTTGAGTGAAACATATTCTTTCTTGAATGGATATGTTGAGTGTATTAAACACCTTGTTTTGAAAGTGTATGCAGAATGATTACTGTGTGATGACACTGAATTATGTGTAGCATGTGATTAGAGTATGTTCCTCATTGTGTTATCGATAAATATCTTGCTTTCAGTAGAACAAATGAAATGCAAATGTTTTAAGAATATTTGGCAGATTTAATTTTCACTTTTAGGAATTGAAATTTTATTTTAGAGCATTGATATATTACACTGAAAAACCATTGCAGCTTAAGTAATGCATTTCAGGGCATTAGCTTAGTGCTTGTCCAAAACAGATTACTTTTTGTGCCCATATACAGGCACTCCACATTAGATAATTTTATGAATTAAGAATAGATTTTAAAATGTAAGTCGTTTATCTTTATTCAGTAGGTAACACTACAAATTATAACTGGCATTAAAGCAAACACATTTTCATTACTGGAATATGGAGTATAGGTTTCTATCTGACTAATGATAATGTTAGAGATGGTGTACAATTTTCTATACAGAGAAGTGTGGACCTTGGAATAGTAGAGAAAAAATGATTCCACATGCACAATGAATTACCTCATGTTTTCTATTTTGTTCATGCTTTACTGCCTTTTGCAACTTACATATGTAGTAACTGATGTTATTTAGGATTGCTACCTTTTTTCACAGGAGTAGGAGTTATTGTTGCAGTTTCTCAGAATAAGGCGAGGCTTAGTTCCTTTTCCCTTTTTGATGTTTTGATAAACTACAATTTTTGAAATTTGGAAATTGAAGAATTTATGGCAAGACAAAACTAGCACGAAATGGCTGAGTTTGTGTACCTGATAATGTAGGTTAGGTTAGATAACCCGGTGCCTGTCTAGTCGCACTAATATTCAAGTAAACACATGAGTCTATATAAACATGTTTTGCTCTGTTAAAATGGTTTCTACTTCATAAAAGTAGAAACAGTAAAAGCTTTTGGAAATGAGAATTAAGAGGGGAGGGAGACTTAAAATGAAAGTTAACACTAAAGGATTTTGAATCTGCTGAAACAGAGCTGTTGGTATGATGACTAAGCTGACATTTCTTATGGAAAAAAGATTGTTTACGAGTTGAGCAACACATGTGTATCTCATGTGACTTTATTTGTCAGACTTTTCTCAAGAACACTAAGGATATAATCCAGCTATGAGTATTGTAATTGAACTACAGAAAGAACTTGTTTTTTCTTTTTTATTCCAGAATACAAAGAATATAAAGCTTGTTAAGTATCTTCAGATCTTTCTCAAGGGAAGAGAGGTGTTTACACAATTTCCATTTTATAAAATTGAGAAGCAAAAGTTGAGAAAGTCTAGGTTCTTTCCCCGTTTTTAATTTATTATTATCATGATGTTTTGATTCTAGAGGAACCAGGGTTATATTCATTGTTTATATTTTGATATAAAGAAGTGGCACCTGTGTTATATTTAGTGTGGCAAACTTTTGTGCATGTTAGTCCAGCATTGGTGTAGTATTGTGATATTTCATAGTATGGTAGTACATTGTAATGTTGCACTACTGTAGCAGTGCTTGGACAGAACTGAACACATTAACTATATTGTAGAACTGAATTTTACAATGAGATACATGAATTATATTATTTGTTGTTTTATCTTAAAGGTTGTATTTTTTATTATATTTTGTTTTAATTGTTTTTTTTTTATTATTATTTACCATAAGAAATGTTTTACATCTAAGACAGCAACCATTACATTCTTGTTTAAATTACACAATTAAAAAAATAATTAAGTTGATGTGATTGTTAACCCTTGTCCTACAGATTTTATATTAACAGTTTCCTTATGTCCTATCATACTGCTAGCTCTGGATAGGACATATGACAGTGTATGATACTTTTTCATTATTTAGATTAGCTGTCAATATAAGAAATATATTTCTGGAATGTTTTGAACTTTTAAACTTCATTTAAATTTGTAGTGCATATTAGGTGTATACTTCCTTGTATATGGGATTATCTAATACACTGTATTAATTTGCTTAGCCATGTAGTTGTAATCATAATGTGTTCATATGTTGAACCTATACACTGTATGATTGTTTTTTAACCAAACAAGCATCAAGTAATCAAATGCAGTGTAGGCTCACATTTTTGGTTAACCTTTTTCCTTTGAAGCCTAATGTAAATACTTAATATAACATATCCTTGCTGCATGCCAGTTGAAGGGTTTCGTGGTGATTTGAAACCCTGTGTGATGACAAGTTTCTCCCCACTAACTCGTGGTCATTTCCATGCATCTTCCAACCTGCAGATGATTAGCAGTCTCGTGTGTTGTTGTGAAAGGCAAGTCCGTAGTCCACTTTTGCTAAAAATGCTTTGTGATGTAAGTGGACTGCAATGAATGAGATAGTGTAAATGTTTACTTCTTTTGCATTGTGTGTAAATGGCTCTCTTCTTCTCTTTATCACTTAATATCAGTTTTGATCTGGAAATCTAAAAAAAGAAAAAAAATCAGAGCTATGGAGTTACTACTTTGCTTTCTTTCGACAACCTCAAGCGTCTGCCGTCAGTCAGTTACAGATCAATCATCTGTGATATCAATTCAGGTGTAATATATGTCCATATTTTAAAAAATCATAAAAAAAGAATAAAACAAAAAAGTAAAACATTAAAAAAAAGACCGAAGGGTCACCAAGAAAAATTAAGGTGATGCGACCAAAATACTAGCTTTTGATGTTGGTACTGTGAAATGACCACAAATGTGTTTACTGTAAACTAAATACCATTGATATTTTAGAATGTAAGCAAGGTGTGTGTGTGTGTGTGTGTGTATAGATATGACATACACAGACACACATATATATATATATAGATAGATATATATATGTACTATATATACAAATATTGAATATCAGTATATAAACTAGCTGAAACATTTAACCAAGGTCATGTATATTTCAGTTCTTGCAAGAAGGCTCTGATTCTGTGGAAGCCTGTTGAAACATGGTGTAGGTTACCATGTTTTGCTTGAAAGACTTTCCAAATTATCTTGCATTACAGTTTTTAGGTACAAAGTTGGTGCTGAATACTTTCAAATTAGTGATGCCAAATTTAGTGATTTTCACATGATAGTCTTAATCATGCCATTAAATGGCTTCAGCTGTTAAATACCCACTATGACTGGATCCTTTACATCTGACCTTCTGTGTTAGATTACAAGAGAAACTTCACACCTTCCTTAGAACTGGATATCATTCCAGTTTTCTATTATATTGTTGTTTGCATACTTTACACTCAATGTCTACATTACTGTTACTAAAAAATATGTATATATGAGCATTATTTTTGTATTGCTTTCACTTCGTCAGAGCCTCTTGAAAACTACAACTTAATGTGTAGCTTCTAATAAGCCAACACAGATGGATTAGCTTCTTTTAAATAATCCACTTTTATTTTATCTTTCAGTATTGCAAAGAGAGTGAACTATCTAGTTTAAACATTACTGTAACTGGGGTACATACTGGTTGGAACGTGTTAATGAAGACTTTGTGGAGGAATTTTGGTAGGAAGTGTTAGTGAACCCCAGATCTTTTTAAAATAAATCTTCCTGATTTTTTACTATTGATACTAGGTTAGCTAGCCTGTACATTAGTTTATGCAAAATTAGTTGTCACAATTTTATCTGAATCTGCAATGTTCATTGGAAGGTAACAGTTACTCCCTGGGTACAGGACTTGTACATCATATTTAAATAAATGAATTAGAATACCAGTTCATAAGTACTTTTTATTTCCTCTGTAAAGAAAGTATTGCCGTACTTCAGAATCATATATATAATTTTAATTTGTTGGCGCCACTATTGAAATATTCATCATTGTGTAGGTTCATTTGGGTAAATAAAAAGAACCACTAGCAGTCTTACATTGTTTTATATTTTTTTACTGATGAAACATTTTGAAATGGTAGAATATAAAAAAAATGTATGTAAAAATTATGTGACTACAAAAGAGGGGTGTGATTATACCTGTCTACATGTACATATGTGCATGTTTGTGTGTACAAATAAAAGTATATTGTTGAATCTGTCTTCATTTAAAAACATCCAACCACAAAATTAGTATCTATATAATATAACAAAATGTCTTAATCCCATATTTCAGCCAAATAAGATGATTTATTATATTTGATTTTAAGAGATGCTAGGGTTCCTTTAAATGTAAATGGGGACAAGAGATAGACTTTCCTTGTTCTACTGTTGCTCTAAATGGGATAAGTCATTTCTTCCATTAATATTGACAGATCAACTATTCAGTGTTCACAATATTTTACCACTGATTATAAAATATTGCAGCATTACAGAAATCATGAATAATTTTTTTTACAAAAATAGTAGTCCTAGGATTATTTTGCATGTAATGAAAATAGAGAAAGGCAGGCTGGGTAAGGGGCAGCATCAAAATGAAATTATGTGCATTTCTTATTTTTATATATCTTGATTGTATTACAGTGCTGAAAAGTGCTAAATATTACTGCTGCTTTATATGTAAAAGGCTTTATGATGAGTTACTAGCTGAATCAGACAGTATATTCTCTAATAAAATATATTAGTTCAATCTGGTTGATTCAATGAATTTATAAGATGTAACTTTATAAATAACAAATTTATCAATAATATAATTTCCCCCGAAGTTAAACAATGGTTATTTAAGATTGTGCATCTAACTGAAAGGCCTTTCATATTTTTCTGTTTGATGTTGAAGGATATTATAAAAAGTAACAATCCATATACCAAGATAATTTACTTGACTAGATCGTTATTACAGGTAGAAAAAATGGTAGTGATGCATTTTATTCTTCATGAAGACTTTTCTCTCCGACAGATATTCGGCATCAATTGTTTTAAAGGCTGATTATTTAGGTCTAAAAAAATTGTTGAAAAAGTATGACAACAAATGACACAAAATATATATTTACAGCTTTAAAAAACGGGGTATTTTAGATAAGTACACTGAGAAAAATATAAAATATCTGCTAAAGCTACTGAAGAGAATGCAAAATAAATTACGATATGGAAAAATTACTATTTTCCCTTTCTTAATTCCGTAACATCATGGCAAAGTTGGTGCATACATTGTTCTTAGAATCACGGTAAGAAATGAATGATAAAGTATACGAGTATTCACTCATTTTATTTGTATGAAACCTCATTCATTTAAAGCATTTAATATAATGGTTAATAGTTAAAAAGCAAAATGAATGTGCTAGACATCAAGGTCATATAGCACTATAGGAAGGGTACAGTAAAGGGTGGTGAAGGGTGATAGTTGTTAGGCGTCAAATATCTATAGTAGTATTGAAAGGTGAATGGATTATGGTAGGGGGATTCAAAAGGATGATAATGCTGAGGAAGGAGGAGGTCAAAGCAGAAAGTGTGGGATTCTGTAAGGATGGCTGATAGGTTGGGAGGTCGGTGAAGGGAGGATAGGTGGGGGAAAACAGGGATGCGGTATGTAGCAAAGCGTGGACAGGACAACAGAATGTGTGGAACTGAAAGAGGGACATTACATTGGAGAGTTGGAAATTGGTATAGGAGGATGTGTAAGAAAAGTCTCTTGGAAGGAGCTAATGGATGGGTTATAGGAAGAATATGACGAAGGTCAGGTCTGCGAGAACGGAAACAGCGAATATTCCAATGTAGGAGAGCTATTACTTAGTTGATCTACGAGTGATAACGGTTACAGTGCGATTTGGAGAATTTGAAGAGGAAGGGGTTTGGGAATGAGATAAGGAGTTGGAGGGGGGGGGGGTTAGTATCAGGCGGTGGAAGATCTGAGGAAGGGCGTAGTTGTGACATAAGGGATTCATGTGTGTATCCAGGAGGGTATAGAGGGGATAGAGGGGATGGAGGGAGGGTTAATGCATATGTAGTTGGAGCTGAGGGGGGTGGCCTGTGTTGGGAAGGAGTAGGAGGAAGGGGTGTAGGGAGAATATAAGTAGGAAGAGGATGGATATCTGAGGGGGATGGGCTGTGTTGGCTGGGAGTAGGAGGAAGAAGTGTAGGGGAATATGAGTGGGAGGAGAATGGATATCGGCAGTCACTTCAAGTGTGGAGGGAGCGGGAGTTGTGGAATTTGAGGGTGGGTGAGGGGTTTCGGTGTCTTTTTGGTACTCGAGCAGATAGTTTTGAATATCTTCCAGAGCTTCTGCAGTGAAGTTGGTTGGAGAGTTTTGTGAGACAAAGGTTTTCTTATGCTTATGAGGGGGGAAGAGGAGACTGGTGTCAGAGGAGTAAAGGCAAAGGTAGGTGGGGTGAGTGGGTGGAAGTTTGTCTGCTGCGGGTAGTGCGGAAAGGGAGAGGGGAGGTTGTTAGGGCTTTAGCTGAAATTGGAGTGTCTGGATTTAGAGTGGCTAATGAATTTGACTGGAGAAGGTAGGAGGTAGAAGTGGAAGTGGGGAAGTAAGTAGGTATAGGGGGAAGGGGGTGTAGGAACATTGGGAAGGAGAGGAGGGCTGAGCGAGCGACATTACTTGAGTAGGGAGTTCATGGGAACCGTCGCTTCGTGCTGTCTGGCTTAACACAATGTGCCCAAGTTTGTACCTGAGAGTTGCACCTCAGATTCGAACTTGTAGGTTCGACAGCCTCAAATACAGATGGGGGCCAGTTGACGTGATTGTGCAGAGGAGTTGATCGGTTATGACCAGGTTGGGTAATAGGGAGTAAGGGCTGTGGATAAGTAGTGTTTGGCAAGCGTTCCAACGACTCACAACTATGTCACATTCCTCCACCAATATAGATATTAAAGGTCTCGACCTCTAAGAGGAATGGAGTAGCAACTGATATCCCAAGTAAGTCTTTGGGGCAGGCGGGTAAGTCTTTTCCTCAATCTGACCAATCTTTGGTATCGACTGGGCAGTTTGCTGGGGAAATTGAGACAGTTCCGGTACAAGTATTAAGGGTTGGATGAAGTTCTGCAGGAATGGGGTTCCCAGAGAGATCACTTAGATTTGATAATGCTATAGTTTGAGTTTCAGATGTAACTGTAACGAGACGGGAACGATCGGGTCGGGTACGGAAGGGGACTCTGGAGACATTTTTGGAGACATTGCTGAAAGAAAAGAGTGTTGCCTGAGTAAGGAGCTGTAGGGGGATCACGAAAAATCGGTCCCATTAGGTTGGGTTAGAATATTTAAGATATTTGTAGAGCTGGGGGTGGCAGAAGGACGGGGACGTGTGGAAGAGGGAGCATTGTTGAGGGGGGGGGAGCATTACGGAGAGGTGTAGAATAAGGCTGTAAAGTAGTAGTAAGAGAGGATGGGGTGATTGACGAAGAAGGTTTTGGGGGTAGAGGTTATGAAGTTGAGGAAGTCGGGAGAATAGGAATGTCTCCTGGAGATTGAGTCTCGACTTGGGTGGATAGTGTACTAGTAAGCAATGAGAGGTGGGTAGTAGTTACAGAGTTCGGATTCGTGGTCAAAGGAGAGCCTTGAGTCGGGGAACCAGGAGAGTTTGAATTGGTGAAGGGGCAAGCCTCATTAACCCTAATAAGGGTATTACGTCTTCATTGCTGGCCATGGGAAACTTTGGCTACGTTGGGGAAAGAATCAGTCCAGCCCTCAGGGTCCCCTTGAGGGGTAAGGGCTAGACAACTAAAACAGGGGAATACCGTGCCCATGGTTCCCTCAGGCCGTTCAGGACTGGCACAAAGTCAGCCTTTCATCCTTTGAGCACGGCTCTTACACCTTAGGAAGTGGATTGTAGAAGGGGCTGGAGAAAGGACGGAAACGAAAGAGCAGGAGGGAGAAAAGACCATGCAAAATGTCTAATGCTTCTATCCTTATTTTACCTCCGATTTAAATCTGCATCTCCATTTTCATCTCGATTATTTTGTCCTTGTTATAAAATTAATTTTTAAAATTTCCAAACTACATCAGCTGGCTAACTAGCCCACTTCGCCATTGGTTGGAATCATTAAAAGAGGAGAGTTTAGAATTCGTTAACTTAGATTAGGTTTAAATTAAAGTAGTTTAGTGTAGGTTAGGTTCAATTTGGACGGATTTGGTTAGGTTAGGTTAGGCTTATTTTAAGTGAGGAGAGTTTAAATTTCGTTAACTTAGATTAGGTTTAAATTAAAGTAGTTTAGTGTTGGTTAGGTTCAATTTGGATGGATTTGGTTAGGTTAGGTTAGGCTTATTTTAAGAGAGGAGAGTTTAGATTTCGTTAACTTAGATTAGGTTTAAATTAAAATAGTTTAGAGTAGGTTAGGTTCAATTTGGATGGATTTGGTTAGGTTAGGTTAGGTTAGGCTTATTTTAAGAGAGGAGAGTTTAGATTTCGTTAACTTAGATTAGGTTTAAATTAAAGTAGTTAGAGTAGGTTAGGTTCAATTTGGATGGATTTGGTTAGGTTAGTTAGGCTTATTTTAAGAGAGGAGAGTTTAGATTTCGTTAACTTAGATTAGGTTTAAATTAAAGTAGTTTAGTGTAGGTTAGGTTCAATTTGGATGGATTTGGTTAGGTTAGGTTAGGTTAGGCTTATTTTAAGAGAGGAGAGTTTAGATTTCGTTAACTTAGATTAGGTTTAAATTAAAGTAGTTTAGAGAAGGTTAGGTTCAATTTGGATGGATTTGGTTAGGTTAGGTTAGGCTTATTTTAAGAGAGGAGAGTTTAGATTTCGTTAACTTAGATTAGGTTTAAATTAAAGAAGTTTAGTGTAGGTTAGGTTCAATTTGGATGGATTTGGTTAGGTTAGGTTAGGCTTATTTTAAGAGAGGAGAGTTTAGATTTCGTTAACTTAGATTAGGTTTAAATTAAAGTAGTTTAGTGTAGGTTAGGTTCAATTTTGGATGGATTTGGTTAGGTTAGGTTAGGCTTATTTTAAGAGAGGAGAGTTTAGATTTCGTTAACTTAGATTAGGTTTAAATTAAAGTAGTTTAGAGTAGGTTAGGTTCAATTTGGATGGATTTGGTTAGGTTAGGTTAGGCTTATTTTAAGAGAGGAGAGTTTAGATTTCGTTAACTTAGATTAGGTTTAAATTAAAGTAGTTTAGTGTAGGTTAGGTTCAATTTGGATGGATTTGGTTAG